CTGTTCTCCTGTCAGTCCTTATCCTCACTACCTACAATGTCAAGCCTCTATTTGCAGTATGTCTTCATAATTCAGAGTGATTCTCATATTAATGAGGAACACTCGGTCTTGTAAATGTCTTTGCCTTGTTTTAGAAGGTTGTTTTTAATTTATTATTTTTTGTTTTTATTAAAGAAGAATGGATCAGGGAATTTGAAGGAAGGTTAGGGCACTGTTCTTCACCTCTTGTTTCTGAGATCTGTTTAAGAAAAATTCACACGGGGGTAAATCTTTGAGTTCCAGACCAGTCATTAAGTCATTATTATTTAACCTCTCCTTACTTTCTTTGTGATTATTTTATTAATTGAATTACTTGCAGATGTTTGCTTGTTCTCCTGTTCATCTTCTCAAATCCCATGCTTACCTATCATCTTCTGGTAATGGGTTTCACGTGCTTTTGGATTTTCAGAATCCAGATTAAAATGGAAGAGTTGAACTCCATTATGAGAAAAGAAGCTTGGCTTGTTTAAACCACATGGAATCCCCCCCCCCCCCCCCCCCAATAACATTTGACAACATTTAGGAGGCTGAGGAGTTAACAGTATGCCTCGAGTCTGTCTAAATTGATATTTTTTTTAAAACTGAGGCTGATTTCAGTGTGGCTTGGTGTTTGTTCAGCCATGGCACAGCCTGCTGCCGTACCAGACACTACTAAGGCTGCCATGAGAGCTGGCAGTATGCTTTACTCAGCAGCACTATGCCAGGGCTGAATTGAGCTGGCTGCCAATCCCAAGAGGCTGCAGCTCTTCCCTTGTGCTTTCCAAGTGCTTCTTAGATTTTTGCTCTGGAATCACTGGCACTTACATCAGCCAGACGGTGAAGGTTATATACCAGCTGCAGTGCTCTGAATGTGGTGCCTCTGTATTGTGTTTGGTTTCCTGTCCTTGTTTAATAAGGTCTGCTAGAAATTGGTAAGTGGAGGTGAACAAAAAGCATAAAATGCCCATTTATTACCAAAGCAATGGTGGTAGTTGGTCAACTGTGAGTCATTTTTTCCCTCCTATTATCTTCCTTTTTTAGGTTTCACTTGCTGATGCTCTTTAGTGTATGAATATGTTGATACCCCACAAATGCTGCCTTAGAGCTTTTTGTCAATAGTAGCTAGCAGAGATTTTTTCCCATAGCTTATCAAACCTAAAAGTAGTGCTATAAAAGTACTGGAGAAGTATTACTTAGATCAGAGCTTCATTACAATTATTGAATATTACTTGAGCAAAGCATACAAATAAAGATATCTCGTATTATCATCTGCTGATACATGCTGGGCATTGTATAGAATGTCCATTACATCTAGTAACACTGAGGAACAGGCTTTCTTTTCTCCATCTACTGCCTTTTCGAATAGGTGGCTTGTGAAGAAAACAAAAATATATGTTGGCAACTTGAATGCAATGAAAAAAAGTTTATTTCATTTTGGTGTGGGTTGTTTTTTGTTGTTGTTTTTTTCTTTGTTTGTTTGTTTTTTTGTGGTGTGTGTGTGTATTGGGTTTATTCGGGCTGGTTGATTTATTTGTTGGCCATGTTCCCAAGCATGGAATGGCTTTGGCTGAAGCAAAGTAGAAAACAAGAACTAAAGGACAATGTTCTAGTTTGTAACCAGCACTTACCTTCAATATTAGATCTAGCCAGCAGCTTAATGCTTATTTCACTCACAACTTAGTTTTACAGCAAATTTTTATTTTTTTCTGCAAGATATATGAATGTACTTCAGAAAATACATTTGATAAAGAGATTATCCATAAATTTTATCTGTGTTTTGCATACTTACAGATATTCAAAACTTTGCCAGTTCTCCCTGATACCTTCAGAATCTACCGGAGATTGTCAAGACGTGTTACAAAGTTCCTGATAGAATGGTTAATTTCAGCTAATAATATCCTTCCACAGCATGATTTGCAAAGAGAGTAGTGCCATGCCTGTCCATTCAACACTCAAGTGGCTGTGGCATTTGCTAGTGAACTGCCATTCAGGTTTCCTGAGGGCAGAGCTTGAATTGCTCATGGACCATGAGCTCTTAAGTCTAGGTTTTGCATTGGGCAGAGGAAGCCTGGGCCTCGCACATTGGAGGTGAGAAAAGTAAAGCAGTCAAAGCCAGCTCTGATCCTGTTATGAATCCTCACTGTTATGAATGGTGTTTGAGGTTTAGCTCTTAATTTTGCTGTGGGTTAAAGGTATTCAAATGGAACACAAGCTTTCTTTCTGCTTCAGAGTGAGACAGAGCCTTCTCTCCCCTCACCTCAGGGAAATAAAGCAATATATGCTGCACTTTTAGCTGGATTTGATCTCTATCTTTGTTTTATAAAAATTGTCTAATTGGCTACACCAAAATACCCTGCTAAGGCGTCCTGCCTGAAGCCTTCTCCTTTGCTTGCAAGAGAGGTGTAACCTAAGCAGAGGGCAGGATGAGTCTGGAAATGGGAAATCATTAAGCAAATTGTGATAACTCTAATTACTAAAGTACCATTATTGTTCATGTCTTGGTGTGAAATCCTATTGAGCAATGTGAAAAAATAAGAAAAACAATAAGCCAGAAAGTTATTGCTGGCTGAAAATACACAGAATGCTGTAAAAATCATTGTGGTAAATTGTTCCAGATATTACTTAGCACCAATTTCTTTTTTATTACTGGACTCAGAAAATGACATGTGTTTTGTTGTACTGTCAATGCAATATTCTTCCAGCTGTGTTTAGCTGCTAACATAGCATTCTAAACCCCAGACAAGGGCTTGTCTGGACTCTGAACCATTAAAGAGACTATTTTCTACAGGGAAACTGTCTTCTCTCTGGGGAGGTAAGGGGCTGAACCGCAATCTGGACAGAACAAGATGAGAGCTTTCAATATCCCAGACACAACTGCCTTTCCCATCAGGTGTGGTTTCTTTCTTGATGCCCATTTTATTTGCAAATGATTTTTTGTGTGAGAACAAGAGACTTTATCACCAATAATTTACTGCTGCTTTTCAGTATTTCGATCAGCATCCCATCCATTGGGTAGCAATTTTGTGTGAAGAGGTGCAATTTAGGGCATTCAAAAATTTCTGCTTCTATAACATACGGAGAGATTTATAAATGTAACTTTTTTAGTGGGTGCTTGCAGAAGCTGCACAAACCAGTTGGTGCTTATGAATGTTTTTTGAGACGTTTCTTCTGAAAAACCCTGTTCTGGATTGCTTCTAATTACAGAGAGAAGCTTAATTTTCTGTGGTATGTATTTATTGCTTGTTAGGAGAAAAATCTTTGTCCTTCAGGTGCTAGAGGAGGGCATGCCTATGGAATTCTGGAGTTATTTTCATCACAAGAACAGAGAATTTTGCTTGAAATCATATACAATATAAAAGCCAAACTGAATTTCCTGACTCGTGGTTCACTGTTCTAATTATTAGCGGCTTTTCTCATGCATATAAATGAACTAGAGATGGCTTAGAAAAATACTGGGTTGGAAGGAAAGAAAAAACATTTGGAGTTTCTGTGAAATGTAGTATTTTTAACATGTTTCGTTAGCTGAAAGTAATCCATTTTGATTATAAAGCAGCTCTGCAGAGATAGATGTTGAGAACACTCTGTTGCCTGCATTTTGAAGCATAGAGTCCTTATTAAAGCCAAAGAGAAACTGCCATTCATTGCAGCAGCCTCTGGATGAGCGCCATATTTGCCAACTTGTAAAAATGCTGTCAATATGGAATTTAAGTTTTGACTGAAGTAATTTCATTTTGACAACTCGATTGGCAGTCTTTAATACAACTGTCTATGCACTTGCTAATTTACAAAATGTGTTCCCCAAACTCAACAATTTGATCATTTATTACTTATTTATGAAAATCCTAACTTTTTGTACACAACTGTAGTCTGAATAGTGAGAAGGTGTTTTCAAGGCTGTAATTCCCAGTATTTTTCCCTGTATCTAACTTGAATGTTTTGCAAACATTATACCCAAAACTGGGAGCATGCCAGAAACACAAAAAGCAATTTTGTCTGAATATTCCTAAATTGTTTTGTTAGTAAGTTACTTCTTAGAATACCCTTAAAGCACAAGAAGAGAGTTCAAATTGAGGAGCTGTTTGTTTTCTGATGCCAGAAGATAAACAGTGTTCTGTAGGTCTTTCCCCTTGCCTTTAAATATTATTTGTATTATGTTTGGTTTTTTGTCAAGGGACCTCTTGTTCCTTAATGAAATGATTTTGTAAACAGAAGTAAAATAGATTGAAATGCTCTTGTAACTCTCCAGTCTGAGGGGAGAGAGAATAGCTTCAGATACACAGTGGCTCTCAATTCAGCAAGGAGAAAAATCATCAAAACAGGAATAAAAAAAACTATGAGTAACTGTATGTCCATTTCCCCTGGTATTTTTACATGTACTTATTTAATCTGCGCTATCCATTAATAATTAATTGTCCCATTACATCGCTGCTATAGTTCTATGTTTGGGATCCGTTGTGCCTAATCACTTTCTGATTCTGCTTGTTCCTGGTGAGATTCTCCCTGAGCTGAGTTCGTCCATTTATAACACTTTCCATCACTGTCTTCTATGTAATTATTCTGACAATGAAGCTGCTGCAGATTGTAGAAGCCTACCCTGGAGACAAAAACTTGCATAGGAATACCATCTTCCAAAAATATTGACTGCCTCTGAATCTTTAAAGTTTTTTTTTGTTTTGTTTTGTTTGTTGTTGTTGTTTTAACGGACTTGATTAATGAAATAAGTCAGTGTCTCTGCAGTTTCTGCAGATACGTGTTTGCACTGGGATCTCAGTGTAACAGCTAATCATCTGTAGCTTCATCAAGATCATGTTTTGTGAATACTTCTAATATTTAAAAAAAAAAAAAAAAAAAAGACTTTTCCACTCTAGGGTTGTTGGTTGGTTTGGATTCTCTCCGTATTTGTTCCAGAATGGTTACTTTGTTGTCCACTGATCACTTTGTCACTCCCTCTGGCTCTATTTATTTATTTTACACAGGAGATAAGGTGTTTGCCAGTTGTCCTCTAGACTTATTGAAGAATGTTGATGCTGTCCAAGCCAAGAACTGGTGTTCTTCAGTTGACATGTAGTTCATTTGGGGAGCTTGCTCAGGTCACGTACTTTGTCAGCACCAATAAAGATGATTCACAGCACTTGCAGCTATTTAAACAAGCAGAGCCGTCCTCCCTCCCAAAGGTTCACACTAGGTAAGAATCTGTTCTATGCCTTTATCTTCACTTTAATGTCTCATGGCATAAGTCTTATCTTGTAAATTCCTTGAGCACTGTTGAATGTCTTCTATTATCTAAGACCAAATCACCACCTAATTATTTCACCTCTGAATTGCAATTCATGAATTTTTGGAGCCCTGTAGAAGTTTTTCTTAACTCTGAGATTGTGTGTGGACAGACATCAGACTGCTGATAAAATGTCCCCAGAGTGCACTTGCACCCCATACAGATGGATTTATGCCCTGTGCCTACCACAGGTGGCCAGGTCCATCACAGGGGCTTTCTCCCAGCAGATGGCTGTGCCTCCACTCCACCACCCCACAAATCACTCCTTTGGCAGCTCTGCCACAACCCTCAGCACCTTCCCTTCATGTTTTGACCAGGCCGGAGCTGGCTCATACTCTGGGTGGGATTGGCAACTGGAAGAAGAACCTCGTGCTGGGCATGTCAGCCTGCACTTGGGGCTGGATGACTCTAGAGCAGTGGGCCAGGGCTGCTTGGCAGTCACACAGTGTGCTGCAAGTCAAAGGGCTATTTTGGACTTCACTTGAATGTGTTTCCAGGGATAATATTCCCACTGTCATGGCTTATTGCAGAAGTTTATCTTAAAGGCTTGTGTGGCAGCCTACAGATATGGAAAATTAAGTGAAGCAAGCCAGTTTTTAGGTTCTTTTTTCTTAAAATATCTAGCTCTGTGAATTTAGACTTGTGTTAGGCCTGACTGACAGTGACAGCCCTGAGCATCCCATGTGAAAAGCACACTTCTCCAAAGCCGCTCAGCAGCATTCGCATCTTGTTCTTGCAGGCACTGGGCTTTGTAATCCCACGGAATCATGGAAGCTCAAAAAGACAACTAAGATCATCAGATCCAAGCATCAGGTATAGGCCGAAGAGGAAGAGAAATGCAGACAATGTGAAACAGCTCTCTGTTCCCAAGTCCTGCATCATTCCTGGTTCTGCAAGATGTGATGAAAGTACTCATCATAATAAAAAAGCCGCATCATCTATCAGATGCTGAGGGAAACAACAAATGAAAAAATTCACCAACTGGAAACAGCCCATCTGCCACATCAGCACCAACATGTGGTAAATGCCTGCTCATCCCTCATTTGCTGGTTTATGGATGACAAGTGATGTGTCAGCCCCTTGAGCTGAGGCAGCATTTCATGCAAACTGTAAGGTCTCAGGTATAGCATTAAGTGCGCAAGATTTCATCAGCAAGACCTGCCCTATTTCCCTAAGGCCACCCACTGCATCAGGCTTGCTAATCCAGCTGGTCTGACAGCTGTGTGCCTGATGCTGAATTTCTGTTTCCTTAGGCCTTTTCTAAGCTTCACAAATGTCCTATATAGCCCAGACAGGGATCTAATCTCTTTCCTAATTTTCAGGCTTTCTTCAGGATTAGTGTTAGAAAAATCACATTGTGGGGTAATGAAAATCCATCTTTCTGAGATCTGCTCCCATCTGCTCTGAGGGAAAATAAGTTCATGCAAGACTAAATTTGGAACTGACATATGTATGATAAGTCAGGATAAAATGATTTGCAAAATGATACCCCACTTCAGACTCAGGATTTGATACCTTTTGCTGTTCTGGGTGTGGAGTTCTCTTGGGCTGCTGTCAAGTCCTTTTTCCCAGCAACCACATGCTGGATGCAGGTATGTCAACTAATGCTGCTAAAGCATCTTATTTAAAACTGACCTAGCAGGCTATTAAGTCCCCTGGTATTTTGGCACCTACAGCTGGTTACTGATGTCTCTAATACTTCCAGTAGCAGCTGGCACCTACAGGAACAGAGACACAAATCTAGCTTGGAATTTAAGACCTTCCCCACTATGAGTAAAAAACATGTTTGTGGGAGATTTAACAGTATGACATTGTATATTCATGTCATATGTAGCTTGTTTGTATCCTGTAAATTAATTAATTTAAGGCATTATTAATAGACATACATGTAAAGACACAAAAATACCTTTGCCACCTTGCAATACTTCACTAAAAAGGATGAACTAAAAATATTCAATTATAAAGATAACAATCAATTCTGTTTCAGGTGTGCTCTCTCTCATTTTAGTATGAAACTCCTAATTTGCAGAAAGCAGCAATTTCCCTAGTAATCTTTATGTAGGACCCAAATGCTTTCTTAAGCTTTCTATAAATTCTATAGCAGGAACATATATGTTCAGGTGAAAATAAGAAATTAAATTCTTGGAAAAAAATCCGTAGACTTTTAGCTATAATTTCTTAGACATTAATTTCTATTGAATTCTGCAGCCATGCACAGACCTGAGGGCATGGGCAGCAGAATTCCTGAGAAGTGCCTTTGTGCTGGGCTACGAGGCTCCTCTCCACTGCTTCTGTGTTTGGCATCACCAGTCGATTCCCCGAGCTGCATCACTTGTGTGTGGCATTCCTTCTGTAATGCAACAAACTGATGTTTACAGCTCTGCTTTGAAAACTGATAGCTTTTCCTGAGAATAATGGTATGTTGTCTTTTTTCCCCTCAAATGATGCTGCCTGCAACAAGATCAGAAGTTATCGATCCTAGAGTAAATGAGGTCAGCTCTTCAGGACTTCAATTTCCCTATACAAGGCAGTGGGAGCTATGCAAGAGGTCTGAACACTGGAGGGCCCCAGCGAGAAGAGAGTTGCAGAGGTGCTCTGTTGCTTGTGGAGTGGTCAGGTAACCTCGCTGGAATTAACCTTCCTTAAAAACATTACTTCTGGCTGTAGATTACAATTGGTTTTCAGAAGCATATGTATCTGAAAGGAACGATTATAGTTTCAGCTAAACGAACTGAATTCTGGATTTAGAGTAAATACAGCTGAGCTTTCAGCTAGAGTGAGAGTTTTTTGGTGCCAGAAGAAAAACACTTGTTTTCCTTCAGCAAAACTGGCTGCACACACACAACTGCCAACTTCTGCTGGCTGAATTCACATGCTTCTTACAAATGCAGATAGAATTCAGTCAGTGATTACAATAGACTTTCTTTGTGTTTATATGACTGTTTCACATTTCTCTGCATCTAGCTCAACTTATTCCTAACAATCTCTTCACAGATTAAGAAACAAGTTTTGTGTCTCACAGGGACACACTTAAATAAAAATAGTGTGGTACTTTTAAATGCTTAAAGGGTACAAAACTCACAACTTTTTGTCTTCTGCTGAAACCTGACAGCATCAGCAAAGAATGATTCTGAAATAGGATTAAAGCAGCCTGAGAAATGTTGTTCTTAGTCATTGTTCCCTAAGGCTGATGCACACTCAGCTTTCAAAAAAACTTGTTCTTAAATGGGCAGCAGTTTCCTTTTACTTGGGATAAATCTTCATCTAAATCCACATCATATTTAAGCAGGAGGTGTTTATATTCCCAAAAAAAAAGGGTTTCTCCAGGTAATGCTCAGTTAGCACTGCATTAGCAGCACAGCTCAGGAAGCTGCTCCGTGTGCATCTCAGCTTTACTGACTTCTCTTTACCTAGGACCAAAGAATGTCCAAGATGGCGAGTGACTATTAGGCTGTACAATGACTTCTAATGACCTGCATTTCCCCTGTGGACAGTTACCACTGAACTTTACTTTTTTTCTCCAGGGCTGGGACTGTCAGAAGCTCAGTGCATATTTTGTCTCTGGCCAGTGCAACAGAGGGAAGGGGAAGAACAGTCATGGAGAAAAGGAAACAAAGCCAGGCAAGAAAGCATGAGGGAATATTAGCATAATGTGAGCAGTGCTAGTGGTTGTCACCAGCAGATTTTGCTGGCAGTAATTGGTTCAGTTACTTTCCCCTGACCATATCGCTGTAGTCCCTGCCCAGAATGAATCCAAGCCATGATAGACGAGAAAGATGTATGCATGTATCTCTCTGGCATTTGTTGGATTTTCTATTTTAAATGCTCTAAACACTACAGAGATTTCCAAAATTAGGATACAAGTGGTTAACTAGCACTGATAGCACTGATGATATGCTATTAATCTTCAAATCTCATGGACCTATCTTAGTTAATTTAGGAAAATTTTTGTTGTTATTTTCCTTTTTCAGGTATGTTTCAGATCATATTACGTAAGCTGAATTCCACTGAAAACCTGGACGCATTCCTGTAGCTCACAATCATTTTTTAAACTCAAGATAGATTAGTTGGGAAAAGAAGGAAAATGATTTACTGGCCAAAGAAAATAATTAACATTCTCTGGATTGAGAAAACTTCCTTTCATGGTAAGCTCTACCTTGCCCTGTTTTATTTTGGAGAGTACAACAAGCAAGTACATTGTGTGCATAGTAGGAAAGCGATGCCAATGTCTCTGTATTTTTTTTATGGTGGTTTTCTGCTGTAAACCAGATTTATCTCAGGAGATTATTTTATTTCTCCATAGGAAGCATATGTGGAGAGTTAGTAGCACGATGTCCTGAATCTGTAATAGCCAGCACTGTAATACTTGAAGTTTTCTAACCAGCTTCAAACTTCCTTATTCCTGTGTCAGATCTAAGTGTTGGTGTGGCAGGAGTGTTGCTGTCATTCCTTTTTACTCATTTGCCTTTTGTCTACCATTAATTTCTTATTGCAGTTTCTTATTACAAAATATTGCAAAAATCAACATGTTATCTTTTCAACATGATAAATTAATTCCAGAGCGGCATTATACCAGATAAGGATTTTGGCCTCTGAAATAAAATTACCTCATACAACCTTCTTGTTCTAGAATCATTTGAGTTAAAAGGGGCCCTTTAAAGATCATCTAGTCTAACTCCCCTGCAATGAACAGGGACACCTGCAGCTCAATCACGTTGCTCAGAGCCCTATCCAGCCTGACCTTGAATGTCGCGTTTTGACCCCTCTCTTCTCCAGGTGAACAGCCCCAGCTCTCTAAGCCTGTCCTCATAGGGAGGTATTCCATCTCTTGGATCATTTTTGTGGCCTTCCTCTGGATGTGCTCCAGAAGGTCCATGTCTCTCCTGTACTCACCCTGCTGGCTACACTTTTTTTGTTGCAGCCAAGGATACAGTTGGCTTTCTGGGCTGTGAGGGCACATTGCTGGCTCATGTCCAGCTCACTATCCGCCAGTACCCCAAGGACCTTTTCAACAGGATTGTGCTCTATCCTTATATCCTTCTGCTTGTACTGATAATGGAGATTGCAATGACCCAGGTGGAAGACCTCGCACTTAGATTTGTTGAACCATGTGAGGTTCACCTGGATCCACTGCTCAGCCTGTCTAGGTCTCTGAATGGCGTCCTGTCCCTTGGGTGTCAACTGTACCACACAGCTTGGTGTCATCTACAAACTTGCTGAAGGAGCACTCTATCCCACTGTCCGTGTTATTGATGAAGATGTTAAAGAGTACCAGTCTCAGTACCAATCCCTGAGCACTCATCACTGATCTCCATCTGGACATTGAGCCATTGACCACCACTCTCTGGGTGCAATCTTGCAACCAGTTTCTCATTCATTGAACAGTCCATCTACCAAATCCGTATCTTCCCAATTTGGAGAGAATGATATTATGGGGGTCTGTCAAAGGCCTTACTGAAGTCCAGATAGATAACAGCAGCCACTCTTTCCATGTCCACTGATGCAGTTTTACCATCAGGAAAAGAAACAAGGTTGATCAGACAGGACCTGCCCTTGGTTATCCCCTATCACCTCCCTTTCTTGTATGTGTCTTACCATAGCTTCCAGGAGGATCTGCTGCATGATCTTCCCAGCTCAGAGGTGAGGCTGACAGGCCAGTAGTTCCCTGAGTCATTCTTTTTAAAAATGGGTGTGACACTGTCTTTTTCCAGTCACTTGGGAGCTTTGCCTGACTGCCACAACTTTTCAGATATCTTTGAGTGGCTTGTCAACTACATCAGCCAATTGCCTCAGGACTCTGGGATGTATCTCACTGGGACCCGTAGACTTGTGGATGTTCACGTTTCTCAGGTGGTTGCAAACCTGATGTTTGCTTACAGCAGGAGAAGCGATGTTCCCCCAGTTCTCCCTGCATCCCCCCTTGGTGGGGCCATCTATTACTTAGCTCAGGAAGTTATCCTTGATACACTCTAGGAGCCTCCTGGATTGCCTACAGCTTACTTTACTGCTTTTCCAGCTGATGTCAAGGTGGTTGAATTCCCCCAGGCAGGATGAGAGCCTGGGATCATGATTTCTCCTGTAGCTGGAGGAAGAAGGCTTCATCAACAGGCTGTGCTTGATCAGGTTGTCTGTAGTAGACACCAGCCACAAGGATCTCCTTGTTGCTTTGGTTTCAAATCCTACAGGCAGACTCAGGTGGGCAATTACTCTTGGCTAGAACAGATGCATCTGTTCAGTGAACTGGAAGGAACAAACTCAAAGTCAGCACTGAGGTTGGCTGGCATCCTTCAGATCTCAGCAGTACAGAGGCAGGCTGCATTTGGGACAACCACATCAATCTCAGCTTCTGTGCTTTGAATTTGCAGTACTGTGGATCCTCTCTATGTATGAGCTTGTAACACAGCTGCCTATCTACTGTGTGATTCTGGTCTTTCTGTTCCCACAAAGTGCATCTGTTTGCTAACATAGTGGCTTTCTGGAAAACTCCAGCCACCTGACCTCATTGCTTTTAGCAAAAGAACGTTAATATATCAGCTGGGAGGACTATGTGCTTTCCTACAGTCGCTAAAAATGTTTTAAACAACATACACATATTTTTGGCAAGCAAAATCTTATTTTCTGTTTTGAGACTGGAAAACTAAGCAAATTCTCATGAAACGGAAAGGAGTATGCAGCTTTCTTTCAGATAACGAGTCCTAGGATATTTCCATCATTCTTAGTAGATATGGGGAGAGAATGAAAGCTACAGTGATTTTCTTTTTGACAATCTTCCTTTTGACCAAGTTTAATAATTGCTTAGAGGCACAACAGTGCACTTGCTTGGAGAGGCAGGAGAGCAAGGGAAGGTCTCTGATTCATGTTGCTGTTTTAGCTTATTAAACTGCAGAGTGTTTACACTGTTGCTTGTTAAATGTAGGAATAGCACACCTATCTCAGCTGATAGTGGCATCTGGGAAAATGTGTTGAAATACAAAATAAATGGATAAGCAGAGCAAAAGGATGGTTTTTTTATGCTGCTACAAATTTGTTTTGTATGTTTCTGGAAGACATTAGCTGCAGAATAAATTTTAAATTAAAGGGAAAAAAAAGTATGAAGCTGGGGGGTGGATACCACCTTTTGTGACAGCTTTTATATTGTTCGTAAGTGACACACGATTTTGGCAGGAGTGATGTTTCTCACAAAACCAGGAAAGTGATCTCTGCTTCTTACTACAGCAACACTGATGCTGCAGAGGCCACAACAAAGGCTTGTGGTTTTATTACCATTTCCTCACATGCCTACATTACTTGGTTAAGTATCACATTACAAAATCAAAGTTTACACATGCTACTGAACAGGGCAGATAGAATTGAAACAGTATGATTGCTGATATGGACCATTTTACTGCAAGCAGTCTTCTCAGCGTGCTGGAATTGTGCGTTGTGGCACCTCCAGACCAGGAGCAGAGGCTGAAATCACTGCAGCACTTCAGAGAGCCCCAAAACATTTCAGTGATGTGCAGCGACCCGTGCAAGTTCCCAAGCTGGAGGAAAGGGTTTGTTCTGGAAATGAAGTGAGCATTTGTATAACCTAAGAAGAAGCACGTTGTTGAACCTGCAAATCCTTATAATGCATTAAAAAAATTAATAGCACAGCTATCTGCTGTTGGCTGTCCTCTGAATTTAATGATAATTGGATTTAAATGTGGTAATACTTTGCTAATAGGATAGCAGGAGAAATGTGTGTCATGTACAGTGTATGCGGATCAGGACAGGCCTGATATTAGCACCAGCAATCAGTAACCTTTTACAGTTTTGGCACTGAAAAAAAAACTGCCAGGGGCTTCCATTTCCAGAAAGCCAGTCGGAGACAGTATCTTCCAAAAGCGAAGTACAAAACAGCAGTGATATATCCCAGAGTTACCCAAGGTGGTCAGGAATGATGAGGAAACATGCGGGACATGCATGCAGCATGAATTGCTCATTTCCTTAAGCAGAAGGAGCAGCCTTCACAATTTAGGAAGCCCTGCTACAGCCAAGGAGAAGTGGCTATCCTGGGCTTCGAGACAAATCCTTCCCTAATCTGTGTGCTGGGAGTGGATAGAAGCTAAACTGAGTGGATAGAAAAGATTTACCTGTTGTTGGCTTTCACCTTGCCAGCTGTAAAGAAAAGAGTGTACAGTGCACAGCCAGGCCTAAAGCAGATATCTGCAGCTCAGCATGGACTAACATTCTCTGCAGAGTCATATGTCTGCCTACATCTGGGCTATGGAGTGCTTTTAGTGTAAGATGCATATGTGAGCAACTGTACTATTTACTGAGGAGGGAAGGAGAAAAGGGGCCTCAGCTCCAGGAAGCACATCTGATCATTTCTTGCAAACAATCTTCACAGCAATAAGTTTATCTCAGGAGTGCTGGAGCAGTGATAATAATAAAAGACTGATTTTAGCATGAAGTACAAACTAAATGAGAAAAGATTTTGCTTTTGATAGCTCCCTCCCATCTTGCTGTTTCCAACTTCAGATAGTTGTTCATTAACATCACGTTAGAGTAAACATCTTTATTTAGTAAAACATAAAAAGGGATTAGGCAACCCCTTCTCTGTGTCAACACTCCAGACTTATCATTAGGGTAAACTGGCTGAAATTCTGTGATTTTTTTTAAAACAGGACAGAAACGTGTAGCAACTCGGATTCAAGAGGCGTATTTCATCATGCTCAAGGCAGACATTATCAAACAGGATCATTTGTCTTGGCAGTCCTTCAAGGGGTACTTTCTGCCGGTGCTCAAATCAGGTTACTTGCACAGAGAACTCCTACTTTATTTTGGAGTGGCTTCAGGGTTCGTAGTAACACAAGGAGAAAGGCAGCTATTACATTTTAACTAGCGTTTAAGTTTCTTTCTGCGATATTAAACTCACATAACCCATGATTGGTAAATACATGTATTTAGCCATCTGCATGGTAGTAAATTGATTGAGATTGATCAAGAAAGTCTCAGTACTTTGGGTTTTGAGTGCAGCTTTTTTATAGAATAGCTAACTAAATAAACTGGAATTATTTAATCCTTGGACTATAAGAAGTTTTGTGCCACTGCTCACTAAGGATTTTTCAGTTGAATTTTAGCAAATCTGCAAAAGTTGATTCAGCAGATCAACTTTTGAAATAAGTTTTTTCTTCTTTTAGTCCATAAATTAGCAATGCAGGGGTTGTTCCTATTGGCATCTTCCCCTTCTACCCCTCTTGGGGAGATGGATCTGCCCTGAAGGTCTGCAGTCTGTCTGGGTGCAGGTTTTTGGACAGGGTGATCAAGTGGAAGGGCAGTATTGAGTACAATACAGGTGTCACCTTCCATGTTCCTTGAAAGGAATATTATTATTTCCTTGAAAGGAAAATTATAAAATGCAATATATTAAAATATATTAAAATAAAAATATATTGTCATGAAAGACACTTCAACTCAGGTCTAAGATTCTGCTGATAGGAAAAAAAGGGTCAAAAGTTCTTGATGTGTTTAGCCAATTAATTTTCCTTCATTTTAGAATAATATGGCATATATTTCACAAAATCACAGTATGGTTTGAGTCGAAATGTACCTTTGAGATCCTTTAGTTCCAGTCCCTTTGCTATAGGCAGGGACACCTCCCTCTAGAGCAAGTTGCTTAGAGCCCCATCCAGCCTGGCCTTGAATGCTTCCAGGGAGGGGAAGAGGTGACTCTCCTAAAAGGTGACAGCTGAGGATCTTCTTTCCCTCACATCTCCAGCCTTTCTTCCTGAGCAGTAATTTTCTGAAGCATACCACTCTGTTGCTAGAGGAAGGTTAGTTATTCTAAATGTGTCTTCTTTGTGTCAGAAGGGATTTGGCCTGGCTGTGACTAGTGGCCCCTGCCTTTGATGTGCTATGTGACTGCCACTGCCCAGGTGCATCACAGGAGCTGCAGTGCCCTCATTCCTTAAAACTACCAGGGAGGAATGGATGGAATATTCAACTTTTCAAAAAAAAAAAAAAAAAGCAAAAAACTAGAACATGCGTATTCCTGAGCACCATCACGTGCCAGCATACTATAGCTGGGGAAAAAAAGGCCGCACAGACCTTAAACAGCCTATCTTTGTACAATCTACAAAACAAATATTTGAGCCGACACAGGTTTCTCAAGGGACTCTGTTCATATGTAGCATGTTACATGCTCTGACTGCTGTCCCAGTGACACAGTGAACAAGAAAAATATGTTGTTCAGATGTACATGCCCTTGTATTCTGGGCTGGCTCAACATTCTGAAGGTTTTGGTAACCTGTCCATGATAACTGGACATCCTCTGTAGTCAAAAGGGGTGGGAGATCATGCATACTCTCCATAAACTTACAAATGTTATTGAAGTTTGGCAACACTGTTATAGTTCACTTTATGAGATGAAATAAGTTCTTCATTCTTAAAAAGTTCTTAAAGCCACAGCCTAAATGTTGCATCAGCTGAGATCTTTTCCCTATGAAGAGCTATATTGCAGGGCACCCCAGGAAGAAATATGGGATGTACTGGCCTCTCCTGTGATGCATTTTCATTTTCAAAACTATTTTTATTTCTTAAAAAGCAAATTTGTGGAGTTATTATATCAGCTGGTCTTCTTACTGTGGGTTCTCCCACACGGTGACAATGCTATTTAAATATATATTTTTTCAATTTTCTGAGGCTAGAATGAAGTAATGAAAAGTGCAGCTAAAAGATGCACCAAGGTGCTTCAGGTCACCAGAAGATAACCCTTGTTCAGCGATACGAAATAGAAACCATTTGTTAAAAGAAAACTAACCTAAAAATATTGCAGCTGAGACTAGATGCTTTCCTGAATTAGTTCCTACTTCAATGACATGATGTTGTTTAGAATATCACCTAATTTCATTTTAAAATTGACGCTGATGGGGAGTTTGCTCTAGCAAATTGTCTCAGCAATTCAGACTGTCAAAGATCTTGCCACACAGATAAGCTTATGGTCCCCCTGTTCTCCCATGTGGCTACTGACAGGCTGCAGTCACTGTACCGTGGGATCACAGGCAGATGGGAGCAGTGGGACCTCACCCAAGTCCTGTGCTCAAAGCAGGGCCACTCCAAGAAGGTTGCCAAGGACTATGTCCAGTCTGGATTTGAATGTCTCCAAGGATGGAGACTCCAAAATTCTCAGGGCCAGTGTTTGATTACCATACGGTGAAAAACTTGCGTCTTGGATTGTTTTTTGTTTTTTTTTTTTAATTATTATTATTATTATTATTGTTTAAAGGGAATTTTATGTATTCTAGTTTTTGCCCTTTGCTTCTTGTCCTGTCAGTGTCTTGTCACCACAGAGAGAGTCTGGTTTATTTTCTTTTGCTCCCCCTGACCACCACCAGGTATCTTTAAACATTCATGTTCATTACTCCTAATGGTCTCATATTATTTATAGAACCCATTTTTTCCCTCCTAAGTGGCTACAGACTGTCTGCTTCCATTTTGGAAAAATTATTTCATTTGCAAATGTGCATTACATTAATCATTCAACTTGCCAGTTCATATAGGTTAATTTGTAACAGTAGATTGGACACTTTACAGTATATTGGTTCTCAGCCTTCACTGTAGATTTTCTTAGTAACTTTAGATAACTCGTGTATGTGGAAGGCTTTTGCTCTGAAGGCAGTATTTCCACATAGCATAACAAGGGAGAACAAAGGACATGGAAGAGGTAGACAGGAAGAGGTACTGTTTGGATATCCTAATTGGGTCAGATTTGGAAGTTCATAACAATTTGCAGTTGATTACTATTCTTATTTTTTACTTCTTTGTCTAACACTGAGGTAAGAGTAGATTTTACTTGCAAGATCTGGCAAAGGGTTGGTTACTGCTTATTAATAGAACTCCCTTATTCAAATGAGAGATTAAGTTAGAAATAAATTGACAGTCTACCCACAGTTGCACTTTGCAGTTCCTAATGTAGTACACGAACAGGAATAGTTTATTCTATAAACTTGTTCAGGTTCCATCACTCTGTAGACTTTGAATAATCAGGCCAGTGACTCAAGGCAATCCTACTAGAAGATTGAAGCTATAGTTGTGGCTCACAAAAGCCCACTAAAAGTCACGACCAAAGCATGAGTCACTGAAGTGTGAGCACCACACTCTTCATCCATGCACTGCACTTTTACCTGACTGTGATTTTCTATCACTGTCAACTTTAAAGGGCCTCGTGTCCCAGGAAAAGTTTAGGTATCTCTCATCTACACTGTGAGATGCTAATATGCAACCTTAGGTCATTGAACTCCACCTGAACCTTATTTATTTTTACTTCTGCAGAGATGACATGAATTATCCTTCTGACACTGGATCTGAGTAAGTAGATGCACTCCATGTGATCACATTGCTTCTATTGCAGGAGGCAGATGTAGACTTCAGCACTTCCTCTCAGTATATTTGTCTGTTCCTATATATATCACTGCATGGCATGGATAACATCCTTGCAAAGGCCATCGTGGTCATGTGAGGAAAGGATCATGTCACTTGAGAATAAGTGCTTAGAGGTGAATTACTTCCAGAAAGTAGAGAGTCCATGCAGATTCACAGTTGAGCAAAGCTTGCAAGTATTACCTGAAAAAATTGAATGAGTTGTATGTGGACTATTATACATAAATTGCAGTATATGGATCCCAAAAATATGGAATATTTTGATTCAGACATAAACAGAAGAGAGATTTTCAGATAGAAATCTCATTCAGACACAAATAATGGGCTGATACTGCTTCCAGCCATTCTGAGTGTCTGATTGAGTTTGATTACAGTTCTAGAGTCAAGGGTTGGCTTCCTTGGTGCTTCCTTTGTGCCATGGAGGATCCATTGGCAACTTGAAGCCTGCTCACTGGGGACTGGGGCTGGCTGTCTGATATTGCAGTTCTGTAGTTGGTGCCTTGTCGTGTGCTTTTATTCCCTAGTAGAATTTGATGGAAAGGAACAGGATAATTTTTTTTCCTGTCCAGAAAGCAGCAGTGTGTGGCTTGTTTCTGTGCTGGCAACTATATGTTGAGCAAATGAAGGAACTAAAACCCTCTTGGAAGTCAGTATAAAGGCCTCATACAACGTGCTGCAACAGTACTCAGCCAGCTGTCAGGGAAGCCCTTATCATCAGCTGTGATGTACTTCAATTAGAAGCCCATCTCAGCAAAAGAAGTGTTCTTCAGAATACAGGGCTGGTTCTCGCAACTTAAGGGGCAGCTCTTGTTGCTATGTTTTAACCAAGCATACAAGAAATAACATAAATTTTTCTTTGCAATAATTACTGAAAGGATGATAACTCAGAAGGTAATAAAAGTAGTGTGACAACAGCAAAGAACATTTCAGAGAGCTTTTATGGCTCTGGCCTGGGAGAAGGGCAGCAGACTCATGGTATATTCACTGTCACTGAACAAAATCCCCATGTTGTTAGGAGGTGCTCAGTATCTGCATCCTATCTCACTGATTTATTTCCTCAAAGCCTGCAGGAAACACCGAGATAGTCAATTCCTCTATGTAACATCTTTGGGTGACATTTGGTAGCAGGGATAAAATGAAAGAAGAGCAAAAAGAAAATGCACTACACCCAGAGACATTTGGGTAGTAGTGACTGAATATGACCAAGTACAAGGAAATAGCAAGAACTGATCTCTAGAACACAGAAGGGTCTTATTCAAGCCTGAATGATTTCTATGCCTTTCTTACCATATCCCTGAGTAGCCACTAGCTTTTCCTTTCATAATTGCTTTTGTGATGTCACAGGAGAGAGATTTCAATCCTGCTGTCAGTGCTGGCCATGGTCAGCCTCATGCAGTCAGCTCACTAACAGCTGCTTTTTAGTTGTGTTTTCTCTGTAGCTGCACAGTTTTCTGCTGATGTTCATAAGAGATTTGCTGATATTTGTCCCACCTTAAGTAAATAATCTGAACCACTCCATGTACAAAAAAAAATATCCAGAAATCTCCATGCCTTCTGGCAGCTTTGAGACTTGATTCATTTAGTTCTGCTGTGGGCTGCAGAAAAATAAATTGATCTCTGAAAGAAGGCAAAATTGAGTTTTATTTATTTGGTCAAGGTTCAACTTCACCTGCAGCACAATGCAGCCCTTCTCTCCAGAGCTGACTAATATCCACTTAATAACAAGCAGCCTCACAGAGAGCTGTGGAGCAGCACAGTGACACCAGCAATTCTTGGCAAGGTCAACTACTAAGCAAAGAGAGAGAAATATACGAAATGCAGCTTGTGGTGAAAGAAGCTGCAGGAAATCAAAGGGAAAAAAGCAGAAGTTTAATGTAGTCAGAAATACATGGAAACTGTATGAATATTATAAAAAGGAGAAAAATCTAAAAAGGGAGGCAAGAAGGGGAAAAGGCAGTCCAAATAACCAGCAAGTTAGCAAAGAGTGTGCCAAATTAGCTGTGTACACAAAGCCTCTGCCAGAGGTGGAAGACCAGAATGCAGTGTTCTTTCTGGTCAGATTCACTCTAGAATAGTATTGCAGCAGCTCACATGGATAAAGAAATTAACTGGACTAAAAAACTGGACTAGATCCAGTGGCTGCAAAGAGAATACTGCATGATGAGTAGGAATTCATTTTATTGCTGAGACTCAAGAGGCTCAGCAACATTCTCTGTGCGGTTAGTAACTGCCATCTGCAGAAAATGGCAAAAAGTGAATCTCAGGAACCTGAAGCACGTGGGATTCATTTGACTTTGAGAAAACAGTTGGTAAATGATAGCAGACTGGAATCTTGATGGCTGCAGGGTCTTTTATTTATAGTCCAATCACTTGATTTAGTGTTTGAACTGTAATTAAAGATGCACCTTTTACACAACTCCGGCAAAACACACAACTCATTTCTCAGTCATTTTGTTAAAGGCAATTAGGCAAACTGCTCATAGCTTTTCCAAACATCCTGGAACAAACTTTCTTTAGAAATAATGAGCAATACACAGAGAAGTGGACCTGCGAAAAATAGCCATGCATGTTGCTGGTAACATTTCAAGTAAGTTAGGATCTGCAGTCACCTTCTCACTACTAATATGATGAGAGTAAGAATTAAAATGCCAAAAGTAATTTACTTTTTTGGGGGAAAAAAAATCCACCAGGCAGAAAGACAAGAAAAGATTTGCCAGGCTAATTTTAGCAATCCTGGATTACTTATTAAGAGCTAGGCACTCTGGGCATGGCTGAGCAAGGCATTTTCTATGGCAGCTCTGTGAAACCCTCACCCTCTTCCATCCAGTTAATGGTCACGGCTACTTCTAGGCAAATTTCAACTTCCGGGCTGTAGAAACTACAGTGCTTACATTACCTGGAGGTGCCCTACCCATCATGGCTTAATATACATAATTTCAGATAATTAAAGCCTGCTTTATGAATGTATAGTTAATAAACTGAGAATAAAGAAGGGTGTGTTTCCCATATAGTGAAACTTATGTGTTTACAAACTGTGTTTACATGTAGGTGACCTTATTGAGCAGAAGGGACAGCTGACATTTCTGCATAATTTTACCACACAAGCACTGAACTGAGGAGTTTGCAAGTGCTGCACACATACGGCAGCAATTCCATATTTTTCTGTTTTGACATATTCATGTGTATATGTAATCATTTCCATAAGAGCATACAAGCTATTGCTGAGTATTTGGAGTGTATTCTTAATAAGGCATTTAAAAACAGACTAGAGAGAAAAACAAACTGCAGTACTTTCATATGTTCTGACGTGAGCATCTACTAAGTACAGATAATTTCAGGCAGGCTATTAATCCCTGCACCATGCAATCTCCTGTCACAAAATTCAGAAAGATCCAGAAACAACAATATTTTGAAGCAGAGGGAAATGCAAAATGAACTCAGTATTTCAAAATCCTCCAGAGAAAACCCATGCCCCTCTTTTCCCTGTTGCTGATCTGCTAGTGTTCCTTTTGCCTTACACATATTAAAACTTCAGAAGGAAGGTATGGTATATACTGCTGGAAGCAAAGAGCCTGTATCAAGGAGATGTTTGTTAAAATATATTCAGTAGATGTATGACATGGAAACTTTTTAATTCTAAGGAAAATGAAGTATCTGCTTTGTTTTATACCTGCAGTGTTGATGCAAGAAGCCTGGACTGGGAGAACAGAAGGTATTATCTCCTTTCCCAGCTCCAGATAATGCCCAAGCAAAAAATGCCAGCAAGTTCAGCTGCAGAAGCACTAGCACTGCCAATGGTAAGCAAGCCTAGTCATAAGTGATGTTATGATCTGTCTCAGGACAGCCTTGTTCTAAAAGTTACAGAATGATGAATTGTGAGATTTTAAATTAAAAACAAACAAACAAAAAAACACAGACAGTTTTAGAGCTGATCACTGAGCTTAAAGAGGGCTCTGTGCAGGAAAATTGTTCACACCTAAGTGTATTATTTAATTATTTGCCTGTATTTTCAGAGACATCTATGCCATAACAGATGCTCTTTAACTATAACACATCATGTGGAAGTTTATTGTTTCTCCAAAGGTTTGGAACACTTACCATATTCATTGTGATGTCTTCTCCTTGCAATTGAATGCAAATAGGCAAAGTTTAAGAAGCATATTCAGTATTAAATGAGAACATCTTGCCTTCTATTGATTAGCCAGAATTGTAGTACTGTTTACAATGGGTTTCAATTGGGTTGCATCTGTTTCTCTTAAAAAACAAACCTGAATATTTATCATTGAAGCTCTTGGGAGCTATATTAAATAATAGTGCAGTTTATATAAATCACTAATTCTAGAATTACAATAAGTATTTATACCAAATAGAACATAAAAAGTACCCTAGAGGCTAGGTTCACTTTATATAAACACATCTTAGAAAATATTAATTTGATAGACTGAGACAGCCCTAAGCAATAAATATATATTTGAGAGAACTGCTGTACACTCTCCAAACTCACCCCGTTTGTACAGCACGCATCATTTGTTCCTAACTAAACCTGCTTTAAGTTCCCCTAAGCACCAGTATTATTTATCTAACATTTCCTGTCCTGTAGCAGAAGATGGGAATCAAGTTGACCAAAAATCTTGTTAATGAGAAGTTACTTGCCATACCATGTTAAGATGGCAGAACATTTTATACACTTGCATTACTCTACTTTTTTTTTTTTTTCCCAAAAATAATTTCCTGATACTTGAAGCAATTTCATAGAGAATGACACAGCACAGTGTGAGGACTAGCAGCTGATGGTATTTGGGTATAGCAGCTGATGGTAAATGGTATTTGGGCTCTGAGTACCCAAATACCACTGCATCTAGTTTTATATATGTTTAAATACAACTGCATCTAGTTTTAGTGACACAGTCTGTGGGAAAGAGCAGCTCTTTTAGGACTTTCACTATTTTGTGATGAGGGCAGTGATTGATCTACACTAAGACTGGGGTTTTCTTCCTGATATTCTGACGTCCAAATTAAGCTGAACTGTCCTTGGTCATGTTCTGTGCCTCTATAACAGTTTAACAACAGTCTTAGCAAATTTACTTAGCCCAAATAAACCCAAATTCCTGAGAATGTGTTGGGTTTGCTGGTTTGCTGAATCTGTGTTTTTATTAAAATGTTTATTTTGGTACTTTTCCCATTGGCTAGACGGCTCTTAATACTTTTTCACTTCATTGCTCATTTGCTACTGCTATGCACATAAATCAATGATGGAATTGTATCCTTCCTACTGTGACTTTTTTTAAATATATCTGGTCTATACAGATAAATTCAAGCCAGTGGTGGAACCTGTTCACCCCTTCCCTCCGCCTACAATGGGACATGACAATAATGAATTCTTAAGGGAACTATCCAGATTAATGTTTCTCAAGAAATGAGTCAATATCAAAGCTATTCACTGAATGCTGCTGTCTCACAGGACACTTCTTGAGTTTCTCTCCAGAGAATGTTTCTAGTGGAGTAGCATGTAAGTGTTTTTATTAGTAGAATTCACAGAAATTCACTCCCTTAATAAAAGCAAAAAAGCAGAACGACGTAACAGTGCATCTGGGATTCAGTGAATGCAGAGATTGGAGTTTTGTGTAGTAGACATTAGGGATACTCAGGGCAATTTTTCAGAAGAGAGGCATAAAGGAGAACCAGAGCTCACACACTGTCTATGGTGGGTTCCAAAATTCTGCCTTCCCACAGAAATTTACTAATGACTTGTATGTGTTGCAGTCTTCTGCAAAAAAGCTTTGGCAAGCTTTTGGTCTGTGACTTTCACTGACAACTTATTCCTAGACTAAGTCTGCTTAATTTGACAGCCTTTTCATCTGAACTGTGCAATGCTAACTCATGATGATGAGATTGTTACGTAGGGTGGGTAGTCTATATGCAGCTAGGCTTGATGTGGTGAAGAAAGATGGCAAGCTAGCCCATTTAGAGCAGGTTCTGCCCTCTATGGTCTTCCAACTAGCACATCCCAAGATGCTTTGCAGGTAGCAATCAAGTCATCTGTAAACTGAAAAAACCCCATACCTTCTAGCACTAGAAATGGGATTGTGATGTTGAGCTCTGACATGGATAACATGGAGTCCTTCTCCTCATGGAAGTGAAGCTGAAGACAGAGTGTTTCTAATGCAGCTCCAGCACAGAAACCTCCCATTGAACACATCTCTTGGGCTGGAGGTAAGCAAGGTGTCTGACACCTCTGATAATTCATCTCAGCCCTTAAACTGTGGTGGTGGTTTTGGGTTTGGGTTGTGGAAAACTCTTTTCAGCAGTTCTGAGAGATTAGACGTGACTCCCAGATTCCAGAAGCACCCAGAGCACAAAGGGCAGGCTGGCAAAGCCTCAGGCCCATCATTTTTCCAAAATTTAAGGCTAGAAATACATTTGCCTTCTAACTCTGCAAATTGTATTTGCTCCTCATGCTCTTTGTATCTCTACTTTCAAACCCACAACCTGACCCGATGTATTTTAGGCACTTGTGATTTTTGTGCCATAAAGGGACCTGGCAAAAGGCCTGCACCCCACTTCCTTCTCTCTTTGTGAGCTCTGGGCAGCTTCACATAGCAATGGTGCCTCATAGAGCACTTCATGTGCTCTACTGTGTAGGCCTGAGTAAGATTGGGCTCCAGCTGAGCTCAGGAAAGGGCTAAAAGACAAGCTAGATGGTCAGAAACATCCCCAGAGTACTCTATACACCAACTGCCCTGTAATTTCAGAGCAGCCCACTCTGCTGCTCAAAGCAGCTCCTCACCTACCTGAGTTCTTATACTGGGGATAAAACTGGAAGGCACAAAGCTGATACAGTCTATATCTGTCTCTTTTCAGCCTCCCTTAAAATTCCTGGGAAGCTCTGTGGGGTACAGCCATCTGATAGAGATATTTCTTCCTCATTACGTCACGTTCTTGTAATTTTGATGCTTAATTATCCAGGATAAGGATGAGGTGGGGATAACGTAGAGAAAGTAAAAGAATCCCAATACAAAACACTTCTATTTGCCTACAAGAAGATCCTGAGTGTGTTCACGTTTGCTATCAGCTTCCTAAAAAAAAGAGGAAGAGCTTTAAATCAAGGTAAGTAGAGCTGTCTCAGGTGAGCATAAAGCATTTTCTATTCTATAATACAGGCATTGGATGAAAGCAACCCCAGAGCTGGGTGAGTGTATGTAACTGTCAGATGATGCCCCATTTTTACATTAAAAAGCAGACACCATTCATTGAAAATGAAGCTGGAACATTGCTTCATAAGGAAGTGTAGGGCGCCTGTGGGATCCTCCTGGAAACTTGATAGGTGTGTTCTTATGGTACTGCTCGGGGCAGCAAGTTTATGAATCAGTATTTTGCTACATCTGTATCACCAAAATCAGGATAATATATGGCTATGTTTTGCTTCTTATTAGGGAAGATACTTTTGTGGTATCTTGACTATATTTATAACAAGATATTTGACTTTCAAGCATTTCAGAGAGCAATTTTGGCATTTTCTCCATGGAAATCAATATCCATTGAGTACGTACAAGTTATCTATGAATCATCTTTATCTCTTTGTCAAGTATTATCAGAGGTGTACTCTAATCTTATTATGAATTCACCTTTCATTTGAAAATGAAGAGGTTCGACCACAGGTCAAATGACAGATCCATTGTTGAAATCTAGTGGGAGCTTCATTGCCCTGAGTTCCAGATCCAGAGAGGAGTTTTAGCATCAAAATCTCTCTGACCCTAACTTCATTTAGCTACTGCTTAGTCCTGCAGGCAGGCATAATATACAGCAGCTGCAGTTTCATTGTTAATATTTCTCAATTGTTTAGAATTATGGGACTATAAGTGTCCAGAAATACATCAGTTGTGAAAAATTCTAGCATCCACATACCTACTTCAAACTCAATTCTATTCCAGTTGAATGGAGGAATACAATAGCCTCGGACTGCTTCAGGAATTGCTTTTGCATCTTATCCAGTGACAATTTAAGATAAAATATATGTGTTCATAGGATGAGGCTAGTGAGGTGAAAACTTAAACAAAAGCATAGAAGCATTTGGCAGTGTTGCACTGAGTGATTTTTTTTAAAGTACAGTTAAGTAAAGTGCTAAGTAAATTACTGAGAGGAGCAAAGTTTGACACACTTCTACACTGGATAAATTGAATGGTTTCCATAACCATGTAGATTTTACAGAGACAGATTTGAAATGCCTTTAAAAAGCACAAACTGACTCTATTTTGAATTTAGGAAAAAATTGTATGACTGAGATGCAGAAACAAGCTTAGGAGGCATCAGATCTGCTGTCACATTCAACTTCCTCAGCACAGTCACTGCAGTCACTGTGCTCTATTCTTTCCCTGTTCAGCATTCAGGTGGTCTCTTCAGTTTACACTAAAAATCCAGCACTTCCTTTCTGACATGCCTTCACAAAATTGTCAGCATTAAAGAAAATATTTGCAGAATATATCATCTTTACACTAGGTGAACAAATAATAAATTGCAATTCTGAAAAATTAGAACATCCATAAAAAATACTGTCCTTATTAGCTCTGCAAGTGCTGTTCAGGGTGTTACATCAAACATATTTAGGAGATAAGGAAAGATTATCCACTTGGCCTTATAAAGCATTGAGAGGACAGCATGTCATTGCTGTAAAATGCTTGATAGGCAAAAGATGTTGAGCATCTCATTCTTAACAGACCACAAACTGGAATGGGTTTCCTGGTTTCATGCTGGCCCTTAACTGACTTGCCCATATAAAATATTGCACAACCAGTAGGCTTTGTTGTGGAAGGTGGGCCAAGGGAAGGCATGGGCACGGCAGGTCAGTGTGCCCACGTACAGCAGAATGGCCTCCCTGTGCCCACAGCAGTGTTCTACCCTCAGGCTCATAAATAGCTACCCACCTCCGTACCAGTTTAAAAAGAAATTAAAAGCAGTTAAATCTTGGAATAAATGTCTTTGACTTCAGTTTACATTGCTAATTACTGTAATTTATAACAAATATTAACTAAGCCAACCACACAATTAACTACGCTGGTTCCTTTTACCATATTATACAGTGCTGTTTTGCTATTGTTTTAATAGATGTGGCAGCTTAACCTCACAGTGGACTCGATATATACTTTCAGGCTGTTTTGTTCAGATGGCAGATTTTAACTGCAATTAGACTGACATGAGCATGGCACGACTGATACCTTCTTGGCCATCTGCCTCCATCTCCTTCACAGCAAGTAATAATCCAGAAATACATAAGAACTGGCAGTGATTAGAAATGCAGAACAACTGGAAAATAAGGTTTAATTGCTAGTGTTTCAGTGTGCCAAGATAATACCATGAGCACTGACTCATCAGAATAAACTGATTTCTGACTTCAGTGCTTTGTTTTTTGAGAACTGAGAGAAAAATGGTTGACAGGATAGGCAAATGTGAAATTGCTCACAGCATTTAGGCACCAACTCTGCCCTTTTTTAGTGCTTTGATTTGCAGTCTGCAAGTATAATGGCACAGCATATTTCAGGCTACTACAGAAAGCCTTTAGGGACAGTTCCATTACACGATAGCCTGTGATTGTGCAGAGTGAAGATGATGACTCAGGCGTGATGACTGCCAGTATGATATTGATAATGAAATGTTTTGCTGAATCACCTTCAACTCCATCCCCAGTGTCTTTCCAACAGATGGAAGTGTAATTACTGGTGACTCACAGCAGCACATACAGCCTATGCATTTCAGGCAGGATATAAGGTGAGAACAGCTCCATTGCAAGTTTAAAAATTCAGGAAGTGTGAGGGAAATACTGCACAGTGCTCAGAAATAGAAGAAAGCCTGATCTGGTCTTAAAAGAATGGAACTATTTGAGAGAAATGTACTACGTAGTTTGCTCTGACAATAATGCCTCCTATTAATTTCCACAGAAGCTACAACAGTTAACAGTTAACTCAGTTACAAAACACTTTTTCAAAATTGTAACTGTTAGCTATGCATTTTCACCAATGATGAACAAGAGCCTGCATGCTGCACCAGCAGAGATGACCCACTGTCTTCATCACCACTGCTGAAACACACCACCCACTGCCTCACTGCGCTCACATCCACTGTTTGGACTCCAGAAATATTCAACAAGCATGAATGAATGTCAATGGTTGCCCTTTTTGTTCTGGATGGAGGAATTCAATGACACTCCTTTGTTTCACACACACTTCCATGTCATCTGCTATTGTGTCAGACTCCTCATCTGCTGCCATCTGTCACATGGCAACATGTAATGGAATAACGTCAGGAAGGTTCACCTCTACTGTCATAACACCAACATCCACCTCTAACATCATGGGCCAACACAATAAAATAGGAAGCATTACTTTCAGAGCAGCCTCTGTATTTGGAGCATGTTCGAAGTAGGGTAGGCAATCCAGCTGGTTAGTGCAGGCATGAAAATCAAAAGTGGGTCCTCCTGCTCTAGAAGCAGTTTCTGTACTGAAAGTACATTTGCTAATTATGTTTGAAATACTCACCTGGCCTGCAAAAACATGAAGATGGGTGAAATGGTTTAGGTTGGCCAAACAGTTGTTTCAGACCAGCCAAACCTTCGCATCTCCACCTTCCACTCCATTTCTTGGTAGATTAAATTTAAATATCATTTGTAGCTCTGGCATTTGCTGAATGAAAAGAGTAAAAACTCTGTGAAAATTGGGAGGGATAAAAATACATATATTTCTCAGTTATGTTTTCAAATCAGTAAAATTAGCCGGAGGCTTTCAGCACTCATCTCCCTGTCACTGGTCCATCTGTCAAATGTAGGAGTAAAATAGCTGTTTAAGAGGAAGCAAATGCTGTCAGCACAACTATTTCAGTGTCTCCTTAGAGCAGAGGAACATTTCCTTCACTAGACTGGGCTGCAGCACAGCCCTTGCTGACCCAGCCATCCCCTAATTCTTGTCTGGTGTTTGGCAGCCAGCGTGGGAAGCAAGGAACTCATGACAAGCATTAAGGACCGGATGGTGGAAAACATCCAGGGACTCCAGTCCACATTCTTTTTCCCTTTTGTACTGCTTGCCACTTTGGGAGGCAGTCACACACATCCCCAATTTACTGCAGGATGGAAACACTTAATTTGAACCATTATGTGATGGGATCCACACTGTCCAGGGAAACCATGTGTTTATAGTGTTGAAAAGGAGTGCCCTTTAGAGAACAACAGCTTATGGAAGATGCTTGAACAGAATGGCTGGAATCCCTCCTGCAGGACTGGCAGTGGTTTAAGGGGAACCACCCTGCAGAGAGCTCTCCAGCAGCAGCATCAGACCAAGCCTCCTATGTAGACCCACAGGCAGACTAAAGCAACAAAAATGATGAGCTGCAAGAGGCTGTGATTTAAAAAAAAACAATTGAAAAGAATATGTTGCAAACAACTGCGCAGAGTTGTCTCTATAAAGGAGCACAAATACACAAAATGCTGCAGAGGATCCCTTGCTGTCTTGCCCAACTTGTGACTCAGAGGAGGAAAAGCAAGTAGCTCTGACAAAAACTGAAACCATCAATGAAAGTACAGCCACTGCTGTCTCAAAATTATTTTAAACCTGTGGCAATTGTCCTTGTGGTACCTAAACCATGGGTTATGTGCCTGTGAATGACACTACTCTAATTCCCAAGACAACAATATAAAAATAAAAGTAGAATATTAGGAATTTATTCTGGTTTTCAGTCTCGCAGGACAGGTGGTAACCCTGCTGTCTGAGCAGAGCTCCAAAAGTGGGACAGGAGAGCATTTCTGTAAGTAACAGCTTTTCCTGGAGGATTTAAAAAACCTTGGTAAAAAAGAAGAAATGGAAAAGGGTTAGAATGGTGTCTGGAAAGCATCCATTGGCCATTCAGAAAGTGACAGCAGGAGCTGTTAATGATGTTGCTTTAGGAGCAGAGAAAATTCACTTCCCATTCTTTCCACAGTTTTTAAGAAACTCAGCTTTGTGCATCAGAATGATCAAGTAAGTGAATACCTCTTACTTTAGTTTTTGGTGTTTTTTTTTTTTTTTTTTGTCAAACTGTTTTGACTGCTAAAAACTGCAGTTAACCATCAATCTGTAATCCAGTCTTTTTTCTGGCCAAAAGGGCTATAGATAAAAGTACTTTCCCCTTTTCTCCTGAAATGATCCAGCAGGCTTCCGTGCCAGATAAAACAAGGCAATGAGAATTTTTCATTCTAGTTAGTAGCCCTAGCTACAAATTGACCAAGTTAGGCTCTTTGGTCAAGCTGCATGTGGAACTTGGAACAGAGGCTTTTATTGCCATGCATGGTGCCCCATCACTCTCTCCTCCAACAGAGTGGGCTCTATAGGTAGCCAGAAACACCTCACACCTGCACTGATTCTTGCTTCCTCTAACAAGATCTGTGCTGCTCTCAGTGTTGCCCAGGAATTTCCTACAAGCTCTTGCCCGTTAACATCCAAACTACCATGAGTGGGAAGTGAATACTGCTCTGCCAGTCTCTGCAAATATAGGTGCAAATTAAGAATTTTTTATTTTTTTTTTAGAGGATGGGTAAACCTTCATCTACCTTGTTCATTTTCTACAAGCAAGGGCAGCAAGTGCTCCAAGAACATCTCTAAGACACCCATGGATCAAAATACCCAGCATTTTCTCTGCTGATTTCTCTACTGGTGCTATGGGCTTATGGTTTCAATGGTCCCAGTACAGCTAGGGTGCTAAGATAAGGGCCTATGAAACCTCCCTGCTATTTTACTCCACAGGGGAGAGGCTTGATTTGGAGGATGAGAAGCGCCATTCAGTTATTCAGCAAATAATTACCATGTGTGCCATACAATCAGCATTTGCTACTCCCATTTTCTCAGCTGCTGCTAATGCAGCACTCAGCACTAACCTATCCTTCCTAGGTTGACAGAAGGCCCACAGAAGACTAACTTCAGCAGTAACACATATCCCTTATGCATCATTTTCATCTACTAGCGGAAGTGGCTCTTGGCTCTTGTTCTAAAGGCCTATGGGGAGTCCTAACTTGTGTAATCTCAATTTCTGGGTCTCCTTTCAACCAGCAGATGGTTCCTCTGTGGTGGTATTACACATCTGCCCTGCTGTCCTTCCTGAGGAAAATTATGACAGACCTCTGAAAATGACACAGTCCAGCAATTTGGATGCTCACAGTCTTCCAGAAGACAACACCAGGTAAGAAAGACTATAGCCTGAAACTCAAGGGCTAGGGAAAATGGCTTGGAAGTTAGTGGTTCCTGACTTTCCTATTCAGAGCAAAACGTAAACGGTTTTACGGCTGTGGTAGCAGAGGTAGTAGCTAGAGATAGGGAGATTGTGTGCTGGTCTCGATTATCTATCTTTGAGGGCAAAGGAGGCTGGAATTCTTCCAAAGGAAGAATGAAGGTGGGTGGAATATTTGACAAGCTTTTGTCTCTCAAACCTTTGCTGTGCTAGATGGAGTGTTTGAAGGGTATTGATATTCAATATCTGATTGTCACCTGAACGCAGAATTTTTAGTTGTAACCACTGAACTCTGCAGTTCCTGCCTGTTCTTGTAGTGTGTGGCCTTAACATTTTATGGAATGGACCAATCGCTGGCTATGGCTGTGCAGAGTAGTGATGGGCTGAGCTACTTTCCTGAGGTCAGTGGTTCACTTCAGGGGTCAGAGCAAAGTCAAAGAGGTCTGTGTAATGTATCTTGACCTGAGCTGATCCAACTGTAATGAGGTATGTAATTAGTTGAGGAATAGAGCTGTTTGTTTGTTTGTTTGTTTGTTTTGGTTTTGTTGTTTTTTTAAATCTACATAATTTTTTTTTTTTTCCTAACTGTGAAACAGCTGGATGCCTTCAGAGCCTGTCTCCTTATATACTGAATTAGTTCCAGGCACATTGGCTTTCTCTTCTGAGGCCAAGGAAACTGCAGAGAGATTGACAATGGGAAGGCAGGAGACAAAAGGATCTTGCAAAGAAAAGCCTTTAAAACTAAAATTTAAAAATAAAAAGTCCTCACTCTTGAATTTTCCCTTATTCTAGCTGATGATGTTTGCTGTGCATTATGAATTCTTCCTCTCTTTTGAAAAGATTTTTTTCTCAAAGGAGGACCAGTAAGACATGTTATTTTAAAAAATGCAGCTGTTTGCTCTTGACATGGCTATTTCCCAGATTTGACCTCATGGTTAACTGTGGCTGTAACTGGGGAAAGAGGAGCTTGCCTATGGCAGGAGTTGTGCAGTGTGCAGCAGCAGGAGAGGGGAATTGCTGTGTCGGTCCTATTGCCACCAACTGAGAGTGTAGAAGTACCACTATCATGTTCCAGTGCAAGGTGCAAAATGCTTCAGGGCTGATGGCATCTGAAATGCTATGATGGCGAACTATGAAGAGAAAGCAAAAGCATTTCTCCAGGAACCCTTTTGAAGCAAATAATTTAGCTTCTCAAGGGGTTTTACTCTTCCTCATTTATTTCTATCATAATATAGTAAACTGTAGACCAACTTTTTCTGACTTCTGCTTTCTGGTTTTTGTTTAAGCACTGGTTACTTTCCCTTGAATCAGCTCTGGTTGCTAAATTCTTCTAACCAAAACCTTCCTGACAGTACTGTTAGAAAGCCCAGTCCTGAGCCTCATATGTTCCCCTAGATCAAAGTAAGCTGAGGATTTAATGCACAGCATGTTGCAAAGTTATCCAGAACTGAGTTGGACCCTAGTGCTGCATTCTTGCTTTGCCTCAGCATAATTAACCATGGTATTTTCTACCTTACTATTCAAAAGATGCACTCACTGAAATCAGCATTGGGCCATTTGCAGCAAACACTGCATAAACAGAAGTCAGTCTACCTATCTGGCATGAACTTTATCCCTAAAGCAGACAACTCCATTCTTGGCAAAATGTTCAGAAAACATGAAGGCTTACCATCTTGGTGACTGATCCAGAAGGGAGATGAGTAAAGGCTGGAGAGTTAGAAGTATGTAACACAAGGAGGAGGTGCACAAAAAGATGAATGTTCTTAATGGGGGTGATTACATCCTTAAATTAAATGCCCAGTGAACTGTATCATTGATTCAATCTGCCCAGATGTTGTAGGCTTCAGAGACGGTCTGTCAAGCACCTCAGAAGTGATGTATGTTCCCAAGCCTTACCGCACAGGATTTGTGAAGTCAGCTGAGCAATGAACAGACGGGTTCCGGGCAGCACAATGTTTTCACTGCTGAAATTGAGGACCATGCAGCCAGACTTTAATCAGAGCTGGCTGAAAAAGGTATTTCTGCCTTTAGGAAGTTCCAAAGGTCAGACGCTCCTATCCAAAAGTGCATTATAAGCTGAAATATTCATTTTTTCATGAAATGAAGCATTACAGATTCTAGAGAAGGGATGTAGAGAGAGGCGAAAAAGCTGTTACTCATTCTCAAGAACTTACAGGCTACCGCAAAAAGACAGCAATAGTTTCCTCTTCCTGTCCATGCAGAATACGGCTAATTGGGAGCTTAATTTTAGTTAGGCTATGGCCTCAGGAGCCTCTTTTAAGGTAAGAAGAGAAAAGAGTAATTGGAAAGATGTGAACCCTCCATCATTAGAGGGATGTAAGAGCAGATTAAGCAAATGCCAGTCAGTACAGCTGATTCTTGATATAGGAGGAGAAGGAAGAGATCTCAAGAGAAGATTGAGGGCAGCCTTACCTTATTTTGGCCTCACTGAAACCTTTTGCTCTTTATTATGTTTCATTTTAAAGCTTGTAACTGTCTGAAAGGGATAAAAGCTTATGCTTTGTATATATATAATTACCTTAAAATGTACCATATAGCCATTAATTTCCCAAACATACCATATAAATTATGGTAATTCATTTATGTATAATTAAAGAAGTTAATATTCATTAATTGCCTGTGTGAATTCTAATTATGTTCTCAGGAAATGCTGAAACACAGCAAAAGCACTGCCTGTTTACTGGGCAAATGTGATCTTGCAAGGCATTTTTGCACAGCTAAAGCTAAAACTTGTTAAAAATAAGCTGGTTTTTGGTATTTTAAGTGATTTACGTCTCAGTCAAGAGAAGAACAAGTAAGCATTTTGAGTCCTGATGGCTGGTCCCAGAACTTGGCTGGAGGACAAGAAGTGCTGCTTTTCCTCATTGCGAAAGCCTTTGGCTCTACCCAAGAAGCTTTGCTTTTGTTTTGCTTAAGTGAAGTCTCACATCGAGACAGAGGAGCCTTCAAGCCACTTGTTACAAACCTCTGTTCAGTTCACTTTTCTTCCTAGAGCAGGGTGGTGCAGCATGTGTCATGGCCCCAGAGCTCTAGCACAGAAAGACACTGAGTTATTTACGAAGTACAATTTTGCCTTAGTACAGTTTGAGGTTGGTAGGTGGACCAACCAGGCTTTGTAAAGTGGAAACCCTATGTTCACTACCTAGTTCAGAAACTTGCTATTAAAGCTATGTTGTATCTTGTCTTTTTGGAATTTCTTTTTCATAATTAAAACCACCTCTCTTGCTGACTTTGCATGCAACAGATTGAACTAGATTGCATCTTGTCACTGAATTTTCTTAATAAGTTGGGAAATCCCATGTATCTGGTGTACAACCAGTGCTGGCTAGGCTGTTCCTGCTCTGTGCTGGTCTAAGTTGGCACCTAGCAGAAGCAGGAATGCGTCAGACCCTTCTGTTCTCTGCAGACTTGGACACTGCATAGTTATTTAGTGTTTTCTCCACCCTAAATACTTGAAAGGGTGGGTCCACAGAACAGTGTCAATGGTGAAAGGCTGGCTCAAAGGGAGAAATTTTTCTTTGGTGAGTGTTTGGTACTACTGATGGCAGGTGAGCTGGCTCCTAAGCATAAGGAGAAACAAAACCTCCCTCTCCCCTGAATAGCAGCAATAGCTGCAAAGACAGCATAACAAGCTAAGTACCAGGTGAAAGTGAGCCAGAAGACATTAAGGACTATTGTCTAGGTGCACCCAGGCATGCATCACATATGCTACAGTTCAGCAGGAAACTCAGGCCACTGGACTGGCACAGAAGTACCCCTGTAACAGGAGAAGCACTAGAGAAATGTGTCAAAACCAAAACATGAGTGAGACAGACAGTTTTTCTGTTTGCTTGTTTTAAATGACAATAATGTAAGGCTAACACTCTTGATAACCTCTTATTCAGTGAAGAGTTTGGATTTCATCTTCAGGATGACATCAGATGTTGTGCTGAGATACCATACTATAGTCAACTTTACCAATAGCTGGTGGCACAGAGCAAACCTGCTATGCCTCATGCTCCTGTTGGAACTGTAGTTGTTTAAAGAAGGAATGGAATTAGCACACTGAGTTGACTCAATAAGAACCAGATGTATCAAAACACGATTTATTCTTAAAATAGCTAGTAGACACTTAACAGCATGGGTTACATTAAAAAAAAAAAGTGCAATCAGTGGAAGAGACTTACTTTATCTTAGCATTTATCTTCTCATTACACTGCAAGTAGCTTCAGACTGGGGCTATTTCACAAGTCACATGTATTTTGATGTTAACAACACTTCTTTACAGTTAAAAGGTGTGCCACTATTTACAACTGCTGAGTATATGCCAGACAATTTCCCACACAAATCTTGCATGAAACACAGACCATGTTTACAGTTTGATGGCTCAGGAAGCTAAATTACAAGCATGTGATATAAAATATACGCTTGTTTAAAAAGAAAAAAACTTCTAAAATGAGGTACAATAAAACTGAGCAGTTTTCTATTTATGTGCAAGCCTATATTCATTCTAGAAAAACTAGCAGCAATTCTGCTCTTTAAAAGAAATTAGCTTTCACCAACTGCAGCTAATTCACTGTCTTCAATATGAAGGACCTTTCCTATATTACACACTTTTCAAAAGTTATCTCTGACTCTGCAATAGGGAGCAGGATACTCAACCATTAGGTGCTGTAAGACTAGATCAGGAAATGAGTGAAATCACCTAATGCTGCCACAGGCTAAGACATTTACTAATCATTCAGTCTAAGTCTATACACTAACCTTGGCTTCAGCCTTTACTTTTGGCATGTATAGTGACTGTTTTTTTAAAGGCACATTTTTCTTTTAACATTAGAAGGTAACCATCAGCCTGTCAAGCGAGTAGAATGATGAAGGTAGAAATCAAGGTTCGATTTGATCTTAAATGCAAGATATCCATTATTCCCAAGGCCAGTGAGGTCAGAGATGTC